CAATGTCCCAATATCCCAATGTCCCAAAATCGCCATGTCCCAAAATCGCCATGTCCCAATATCCCAATGTCCCAATATCCCAAGATCCCAATATCCCAAGATCCCAATATGCCAATATCCCAATGTCCCAATGTCCCAATGTCCCAATATCCCAGCGTCCCAATGTCCCAACATCGCCATGTCCCAATATCCCAATGTCCCGATATCCCAATGTCCCAATGTCCCGATGTCCCAATGTCCCGATGTCCCAATATCCCAACGTCCCAATGTCCCCATGTCCCATTGTCCCAATGTCCCAATGTCCCCATGTCCCCATGTCCCAATGTCCCGATATCCCATACATCCCAATATCCCAATGTCCCCATGTGTCCCCGTGTGTCCCACCAGGAACTTGCAGACGTCGTTGATGAACTCGCCCATAGTGCAGCCCCCATAGATCCCCAAATTCCAACGTCCCAATATCCAAATATCCCAATGTCCCAATGCCCCAAGATCTCCATATCCCCGTGTCCCAATATCCCAGTGTCCCAATATCCCAGTGTCCCAATGTTCCAATATCCCAATATCCCAGTGTCCCCATGTCCCCGTGATGTCCCCGTGATGTCCCCGCGTGTCCCACCAGGAACTTGCAGACGCCGTTGATGAACTCGCCGTAGTGCAGCCCCTGCACATCCCCAAATTCCAATGTCCCAATACCCCAATATCCCAGTGTCCCATATTCCAATGTCCCAATGTCCCAATGTCCCAATATCCCAATACCCCAATATCCCAATGTCCCCATGTCCCTGTGATGTCCCCGTGTGTCCCACCAGGAACTTGCAGACGTCGTTGATGAACTCGCCGTAGTGCAGCCCCTGCACATCCCCAAATTCCAACCTGGGATCCCAAAATCCCCATCCTGGGATCCCACCATTCCCATCCCATGATCCTGAGATCCCATCCTGGCATCCCAAAATCCCAGCCTCTGACACCAAAATCCCCATCCTGGGATCCCACCATTCCCTTTGTCCGAAGCACCAGGGGACAATCCCAGTGGGACAATCCCCGAGGGACAATCCCAGAGGGACAATTCCAATGGGAAATTCCAATGGACCAATCCCAAGGGGAAAATCCAATGGGAAAATTCCAATGGGCCAATCCCAGTGGGACAATCCAATGGGACAATTCCAATGGGACAATCCCAGTGGGACAATTCCAATGGACCAATCCCAAGGGGAAAATCCAATGGGAAATTCCAGTGGACCAATCCAAATGGCACAATCCCAATGGGACAATTCCAGAGGGACAATTCCAGTGGGACAATCCCAGTGGGACAATTCCAGTGGGACAATCCCAGTGGGACAATCCCAGAGGGACAATTCCAATGGACCAATCCCGATGGGAAAATTCCAATGGGAAATTCCAATGGACCAATCCCAAGGGGAAAATCCAATGGGAAATTCCAGTGGACCAATCCAAATGGCACAATCCCAATGGGACAATTCCAGAGGGACAATTCCAGTGGGACAATCCCAGTGGGACAATTCCAATGGGACAATCCCAATGGACCAATCCCAGTGGGAAAATCCAATGGGAAAATTCCAATGGGACAATCCCAGTGGGACAATTCCAATGGGAAATCCCAGTGGGACAATCCCAGTGGGACAATCCCAATGGGACAATTCCAATGGGACAATTCCAGAGGGACAATTCCAGTGGGACAATTCCAGTGGGACAATCCCAGTGGGACAATCCCAGAGGGACAATTCCAATGGACCAATCCCGATGGGAAAATTCCAATGGGAAATTCCAATGGACCAATCCCAAGGGGAAAATCCAATGGGAAAATTCCAATGGGCCAATCCCAGTGGGACAATCCAATGGGACAATTCCAATGGGACAATCCCAGTGGGACAATTCCAATGGACCAATCCCAAGGGGAAAATCCAATGGGAAATTCCAGTGGACCAATCCAAATGGCACAATCCCAATGGGACAATTCCAGAGGGACAATTCCAGTGGGACAATCCCAGTGGGACAATTCCAGTGGGACAATCCCAGTGGGACAATTCCAGTGGGACAATCCCAGTGGGACAATTCCAGTGGGACAATCCCAGTGGGACAATCCCAGAGGGACAATTCCAATGGACCAATCCCGATGGGAAAATTCCAATGGGAAATTCCAATGGACCAATCCCAAGGGGAAAATCCAATGGGAAATTCCAGTGGACCAATCCAAATGGCACAATCCCAATGGGACAATTCCAGAGGGACAATTCCAGTGGGACAATCCCAGTGGGACAATCCCAAGGGACAATTCCAGTGGGCCAATCCCAATGGGAAATCCCAATGGGACAATTCCAGAGGGACAATTCCAATAGGATGATCCTTCTGGCATCATCCCAGTAGGACAATCCAAATGGGACAATTCCAATGGACCAATCCAAATGGGACAATTCCAATGGACCAATCCAAATGGGACAATCCCAATGGGACAATCCCAGTGGGAAAATCCAGTGGGACAATCCCAAGGGACAATTCCAGAGGGGCAATTCCAGTGGGCCAATCCCAATGGGAAATCCCAATGGGACAAATCCAGAGGGACAATTCCAGTGGGACAATCCCAGTGGGACAATTCCAATAGGATGATCCTTCTGGCATCATCCCAGTAGGACAATCCTGGTGGGACAATTCCAATGGGAAAATCCCAATGGGCCAATCCCAGACGGACAATTCCAACGGGACAATCCCAGTGCGACAATTCCAATGGACCAATCCCAATGGGACAATCCCAATGGGACAATTCCAATGGACCAATCCCAGTGGACACTCCCAATGGGACAACCCCAGTGGGAAAATCCAATGGGAAAATTCCAATGGACAATTCCAATGGGACAATTCCAATGGGACCAATCCAAATGGGACAATCCCAATGGGACAATCCCAGTGGGACAATCCCAAGGGACAGTTCCAGAGGGACAATTCCAGAGGGACAATTCCAGTGGGCCAATCCCAATGGGCCAATCCCAAGGGACAATTCCAGAGGCACAATTCCAGAGGGACAATTCCAGTGGGACAATCCCAATAGGACAATCCCAGTGGGACAATCCCAGTGGGACAATTCTAATGGGACAATTCCAATGGGACCAATTCCAATGGGACCAATCCAAATGGGACAATCCCAGTGCGACAATTCCAATGGACCAATCCCAGTGGGAGCCTCCCAATGGGACATCAGCAGTGGGAAAATCCAATGGGACAATTCCAGTGGGACAATCCCAGTGCGACAATTCCAATGGACCAATCCCAGTGGGAGCCTCCCAATGGGACATCAGCAGTGGGAAAATCCAATGGGACAATTCCAGTGGGACAATCCCAGTGCGACAATTCCAATGGACCAATCCCAGTGGGACAATTCCAATGGGAAAATCCCAATGGGCCAATCCCAGACGGACAATTCCAACGGGACAATCCCAGTGCGACAATTCCAATGGACCAATCCCAATGGGACAATCCCAATGGGACAATTCCAATGGACCAATCCCAGTGGGACACTCCCAATGGGACAACCCCAGTGGGAAAATCCAATGGGACAATTCCAATGGGACAATCCCAGTGGGAAAATCCAATGGGAAAATCCCAATGGGACAATCCCAATGGGACAATTCCAGTGGGACAATTCCAGTGGGACAATTCCAGTGGGACAATTCCAATGGACCAATCCGAGTGGGACACTCCCAATGGGACAATTCCAGTGGGAAAATCCAATGGGCCAATCCCAATGGGACAATTCCAATGGGACCAATCCAAATGGGACAATCCCAATGGGACAATTCCAATGGGACCAATCCCAATGGGACAATTCCAATAGGATGATCCTTCTGGCATCATCCCAGTAGGACAATCCTGGTGGGACAATTCCAATGGGAAAACCCCAATGGGCCAATCCCAGATGGACAATTCCAACCGGCCAATCCCAGTGGGAAAATCCCGATGGGCCAATCCCAGAGGGACCCTCAGCCCAGCACAGGAGCACGGATGAGGATCCAGGAGAAATCCCAGCCCAAGGGAGAAATCTGGGATGGGAAATCCCCACGGGACGGACCCCCGGAGATGCTCCCACCACGGCCCAACCCCATTCCCAACTCCGGGAATTCCGGGCTGGCTCCTCACGCTGTCGAAGAAGGGCCGGATGCGGATGGCGATGTGGAGCAGCATGGATTGCACGTCCCGCTCTTCCAGGTGATCCAGGATTTTGGAGAGGCTGGACATGGCCTCCAGCGCCAGCAGATTGTTGGGATCGTCCTTGTCGTCCATGCCGTTGACCATGGAGGCCAGCAGCTGCGAGCCGTGCCTCCGGATCTGCCGGGAAAACCGGGAATGCAGCCGGGAAAACCGGGATACGGAGCCCCGGGAGGGAGCTGGGGGGGATTGTCCCGGAGAAAATTGGGATTGAAGGGCTCCAGGGGGAGTGTGGGATCTGCTCCGTGGGAAAAAGGGGTGGGGAAAGAGGGAACGGATTCAAGTTGGGATTTTTGGGAATATTCCACTGGAATTTGGGGCAAACAGGGATTTGCTGGGTTCACGGCTGGGGTTGGGAATGGGGGAATTCCCAGGAGCAGCTGAGGGAGCTGGGGGGGGCTCATCCCGGAGAAAAGCGGGATTGAAGGGATCCAGGGGGATCCAGGGTGGGATCTGCCCCCAGGGAACAGGGACAGGACCCCAGAAATGGCCTCAGGTTGGGATTTTTGGGAATATTCCCCCGGAATTTGGTGGAATTCTGGGCTTTGGAGCCCTGGGAAGCAGGGCAGGGACTGAGGCCGAGGATTCCCGGGAGAGGCTGGGAAAAGGGGCCGATCCCAGCTGGATTTCCTGCGGCTCTGGAAAAGGTTCCTGGGAATCCCTGGAAAACGGGGCTGGGGAAAGGCTCCGGCACTTCCCGGGATTCCCAAAAACGGCTCCAGAAAAACCGGGATTTTTAGGATTCGGAGTCTCCCGGTGCATCCCAATCCCTGGAGCTTCCTCACCATCCCACAAAACCTCATCCCGATGTTCTAGAGGGAATTCCTTCCCTGCGGAAGCGGGAATCCATTCCCCGTCTCCCTCCAAATCCCAAATCCCCGGAGCTGCTCCCACCTTTTCCGGGGATCCCGAGGCCACGTTGCCGAGCCCCCGGAGCGCCAGGACGCGCACCAGGAGGCAGGAATCCTTCTCCAGAGCCGTCAGCGCGTCCAGGATCGGCTCCAGCAGCACCAGGTCGTTCACCACGTTGTGGTTGAGGAGCTGGAGAAGGGAAAAAACCTCGGGATGCACCGGGAAAACCCCCCGGATCGATGAGGTGGAGATGGAATTCCCGGGAAGAGCCGCGGTTGGAGCTGCTCTGGGAAAATCCAGGGAAAACTCAGCCCAGGGTGGGGTTTTGGGGGCCTAGAAGAGTTTTGATGCAGGGTTGGGAAAATTTTGGGAATTTTTGGGAAAACTGGGATCTGGAGAGCCAGTCTGGGCCTGGAGATTCCGCTCATCCTGCGGACCTGCCGGAATTCTCTTCTCCTTCCCCTCAGCTCCGGCTGGAATTTGAAACACTCCAAGATCCAGACATGATCCGGATTCTGGGATGGGCTACAGGAGCAGGTGGGAATCTGGGATGGATGGATCCATGGATGGATGGATGGATGATGGATGGATCCATGGATGGATGGATGGATGGATGGATAGATGGATGGATCCATGGATGGATGGATGATGGATGGATGGATGATGGATGGATGGATGATGGATGGATGATGGATGGATGGATGATGGATGGATGATGGATGGATGGATGGATGGATTCATGGATGGATCCATGGATGGATGGATGATGGATGGATGGATTCATGGATGGATGGATGGATAGATCCATGGATGGTTGGATGGATGGATGGATCCATGGGTGGATGGATGGATCCATGGATGGATGGATCCATGGATGGATGGATGGATGGATGGATGGATGGATGGATGGATCCATGAAGAGAAGGATGGATGGATCCGTGGATCCATGGATGGATGGATGGATCCATGGATGGATGGATCCATGGATGGATGGATCCATGGATGGATGGATCCATGGATGGATGGATCCATGGATGGATGGATGATGGATGGATGATGAATGAATGGATCCATGGATGGATGGACAGATCCATGGAGGGATGTATGGATGGATCCATGGAGGGATGGATGGATGGATCCATGAAGGGATGGATGAATCCCTGGATCCATGTGGGACCAGCCCAGCCGGGCATTCCCGCGTTTCCCGCTCACCTCGGCCAGGAAGGCGCTGCTGGTCACCCTCTGGCAGTCCAAGGCGCTTCCCAGCGCCGGGATGAGGCTCCGGACGATCGGCGGCAGCCGGGGCCCGCAGAGCCGAGCCATGGCCCTGCGTGGGAACAGCACTCGGAATCCCGGGAATGCCGGGAATGCCGGGAATCCCCGTCCCCGGGCAGGACAGCACCCAGCACGGAAAACCAGGATTGACCCACAGGGAAGGACCTGGAGCATCCCGGACACCCTAACCGGGATTTCTTTGGGATGAGTTCCCCAAAAGTTGGATAATCCCAATCCCATCCTGGGGGTTATTCCAGGATGTTCCAGGATGGGGTCCTGCCACGCCCTGGCAGCGGGATTTTCCCGGGAATGATGGGATGGGATGCACCAGGATACTCCAGGAATCCCAGGCATGCAGCGGGAAAAGTTTTCCATGGGGATCTTTGAGATCCCATGGAAGTGGGGAAGGAACGGGAAAGGGAATGAGCGCGGCCACGGGAATGACGGGAAACGCGGGATGGGAGGGAAATAGTGGGATCGGAGACACCGGGAATTCTGCTCTGGGATCGGAGACTCCGGGAATTCTGCACTGGGATCACAGCACTGGAATTCCACAGTGGGATCGGTGACATCAGGAATTCCACAGTGGGATCGGAGACACCGGGAATTCTGCAGTGGGATCAGAGACTCTGGGAATTCTGCAGTGGGATCAGAGACTCCGGGAATTCTGCTCTGGGATCAGAGGCTCCAGGAATTCTGCACTGGGATCGCAGCACTGGAATTCCACAGTGGGATCAGAGACTCCGGGAATTCTGCTCTGGGATCGGAGACACCGGGAATTCCACACTGGGATCACAGCACTGGAATTCCACAGTGGGATCGGAGACACTGGGAATTTCGCAGTGGGATTGAGGATATCGGGAATTCCACACTGGGATCCGAGACTCTGGGAATTCCACAGTGGGATCACAGCACTGGAATTCCACACCGGGACTGGAGACTCTGGGAATTCCAGCGTGGGACTGGGGACATTGGGAATTTCACACTGGAATCAGAGACTCTGGGAATTCCACAGTGGGACTGAAAACACTGGGAATTCTGTACTGGGAATTCCACAGTGGGATCACAGCACTGGAATTCCACAGTGGGATTGGAGACACTGGGAATTTCACAGTGGGATTGAGGATATCGGGAATACCACACTGGGATCCGAGACTCTGGGAATTCCAGCGTGGGACTGGGGACATTGGGAATTTCACACTGGAATCAGAGACTCTGGGAATTCCACAGTGGGACTGGAAACACTGGGAATTCTGTACTGGGAATTCCACAGTGGGATCAGCAACACTGGGAATTCTGCACAGGGATCACAGCACTGGAATTCCACAGTGGGATCAGTGACAGTGGAATTCCACAGCGGGATTGATAAACCAGGAATTCCATCTTGGGATTGATGACACTGGGAATTCCAGAGTGGGATTGTTGGCACTGGGAATTCCACTCTGGGAATTCCAGAGCGGGATCAGTGACACTGGAATTCCACAGGGAATTGGAGACACCGGGAATTCCAGAGTGGGATCAGTGACAGTAGGAATTTTAGGGTTGGATCATGACACTGGGAATTCTGCACTGGAATTGGAGACTCTGGGAATTCCACGGTGGGATCAGCAACACCGGGAATTCTGCACTGGGATCAGAGACACCGGGAATTCTGCACTGGGATCACAGCACTGGAATTCCACAGTGGGACTGGAGACACTGGGAATTCTGCACTGGGAATTCCACAGTGGGACTGAAAACACTGGGAATTCTGCACTGGAATTGGAGACTCTGGGAATTCCACGGTGGGATCAGCAACACCGGGAATTCTGCACTGGGATCACAGCACTGGAATTCCACAGTGGGACTGAAAACTCTGGGAATTCCACAGTGGGATCAGTGACAGGGGGATCCCACAGTGGGACAGATAAAACCAGGAATTCCATCTTGGGATTGATGGCACTGGGAATTCCAGAGTGGGATTGATGCTGCTGGGAATCCCACAGGAGATTGGAGACTCTGGGAATTCCAGAATGAGATCAATGGCACTGGAATTCCACAGTGGGATCAATGAGACCTGGAATTCTGCAGTGGGATGGGTGACACTGGGAATCCCATTTTGGGATCAGAGACATTGGGAATTCCATTTTGGGATCAGAGACACTGGGAATTCCATCCTGGGATCCTGGACACCAGGAATTCCACAGCAGGACCAACTTCCAGCTCCAGCTGCCTCCACCCCTCCACATTCCCGGGTGCACGGTGATCCCACCCCACCCAAAAACCCCGGAATTCCGCGGGAAGCGCCCCCAGAATTCCCTACCTGGCCAGGAGGGCGATTCCGTCGTGGTGCCGCTCGGGAATTTCCATCAGTTCCCAGCCCCCGGCGCTTCCCACGTCCTGCACGACGTCGTCGTTGCCGGCCCGCGCCAGCATCGCCTTCAGCGCCTGCACGGCACAGCTGGAAAACCGGGATCGGGATGGGATCGGGATCTGGGGCTGGGTCCAAGACTGGGTCTGGAACTGGATCTGGGGTTGGACTCAGATTCAGTTTGGGATCGGGATGGGATCTGGGGTTGGATCCAAGATTCAGTTTGGGATCAGGACGGGATCTGGGGCTGCCTTTGGGATTGGGTCCAAGACTGAGTCTGGATTGGATCTGGGGCTGGACTCAGATTC